CTGCTACACATTTAGTATAATAGCAATATAGACATGAATATAAAGCATGGAGAGGAGTTCTAGGTTTAAAACATATAGAAATGTTCACTGTAGGAATGAAGTTGAGCTTTACCTCCTGATTAGCACACTTTGATCTTGATGCTTAGACTGTCTTCTATAAACATCTGTGAATTTTGTTTTTGTGAAGTTGACAAATCATTTAAAGGTGAGGTTATAGCCAAATGAATTAGTGGCTCAAACGATAGCCCATTATGATTAACCATATCTCAGTTTTAAATACTCCTGGTCATACACTTGAATATTTGTTGTAGTCTGTGACGTGGTTCCAATATATGTATTTTTCACTAAAATTTGCATCTTCTTAAAGAGTTAGACGTTAAAGGGCATTATTTGGATCAACCTCTCCTTGGGGTACTATTTGAAACTTATTATAACCACTTCCACAGATTCACACAGAAAATATCAAGATTAAAATGGCCTTATTTCCAGTAGTTTTGCTCCGCAGTCCCGTCTTTAATATACGCCAGAGAATTCATCCAGAAGAATTCCCTAATAAATATAATGTAACCAAGAGCGGCAATTGTGACAGCATTATCTTGATTTTCAAATATAGATGAGATTCAGTTCCCACGAAGCATTTAAAGGAGAAACGAATTTAAAAGTATTAGGAGCGATATGGTTTCGCTTTAAGAACAAAAGAGTTCAGGTTGTTCAGCTACAAATTTTATCTGCGGTTGAGAACTCACATTACTGTAAGCATACTTTTTTGCCGGCGTTACATTTGCGGGTGTGGATTTAGACTACATCAGCGCAGTCAATTATTCACGCAATCAACCAATTGCCAGGAATTGCCCAGCTGTCTCTGCAGGCTGCCACTACTATATAAAACAACCAGACTATCTGCTTCCAGTTGATGCTTGCAAGTTTCGCATGCAAGATTTCTCCCCAGACATAATAATACTATGGCATGCCATAGTTGAAGCTCATGCTTAAAACACCAAGAATAAGTAACCTCTCTCTACCAGAACCTGCAGAGCTGGGACTCGAATCTTGTTCGGCTAGGAGTCTCCTCATATCGACGGACACCTTTATACGGCAGCTGCTTGACCCTTGATGGAGAGGAAAGGAAACACACACACACACACACCATGGATATGGTCTCCAATATAGATGCCAAGTCCTGTAGCGTGATGATATGGACAGACTATCAGTGAAGGATCGTACCTGTAAGAAGCAAAAGAAATACTACCTTAACGCAATGCTACACAACTCTGCATACCTATCATTCAAGTGCGATACAAAATTCTACACTTTTCTTTAATCTATTCAACAAATCATTAAATGTTCAAATCGCAATGCTTCATATACCTTAAAAACTATTCATGTCAGCTTATGGCTTTTATATTCCAACTACAAATTCAGTATTTGTTTACCTAATTGTGTTATTATCTAATAAAACTCTAAATTCCACACTAGCAAAATATTTTTGTAATAAAGTTCTCCCGCATTCTTATGACAGTGATACAAAGAACCCATATATCGAAACGTTGCATATACATGCAATAAAGGAATTGTTATCCATAAAATCGGTTGTTTGTTGCGTTCCCATGTATGCAGCTTCTAAAATGCCACTCAAAGAGATAAAGAGCTTTGTTGCTCCCTCATATGCAGCAAGAGGGTTGTTTCACGGAGTAGCTCACGTAGCCAATGACTATAGATCTATACTTAGAATTGTTTTGGTAGATTTTGGCTTTAATTAACATAACTTGTACTACAGATTTAACAGGTTTATGTATTCTAAAATGAAATTAAAATAGTGATCTTAGGGACTGTTCTGTAACATATGGTCAGCAGGAGTAATGATATTGATCTTTATAGGAAGCATGTACAATGTAGACCAGCCCCTAAAATTACTTATGTGCAATAGTGACACCCCAACCCTTGCATGTCATATATATGCAAATCAATGCCCCCTCCATAATTTTAAATTATAATATATTAATATTTCTACATACAAAATTATTTGCCCCCAAATTCTGCATTTTAAATGTAAAGGAAACCTGCTGACATTTCTCTATTAACTGTTGTGAGGTTGAGACGGGGACGGCCGTGGGGCACAGTTTGGACAAAATGCGACATCTTGCTGATGGCAATGTCACAGAGAGCTGTAGTAGCGTCTGCGTTTTCCATTAGGTTCCTTTTGATGCTCGGTGTTTTGGGAGATATTCGGGAACGATTTTGCATAAGTGGGCCATATCTGTTCAGTCATGGCATGGGATCCTGTTGGTTGCAGCTGTTGAATATAGGATCCTTAGGCGTTGATTTCCGGATGGTGTAGATCTGTCGATATAAATAAATGCAATGCCTTTTTCATTTTACCATCTACAATGACTTACCAGTAGCGATTTCACAAACATACAGAAAGGAAGGCCGATTCGGTAGAAATCAAACTTCTTCCCTCGCTATCTGCTGCGCGGCTCTTGTCGTCTGCCGACCACCACACTTAAATTCACCTCCCGCAGATAGAAATATCCGGCATGATCCCCAGGGTTTCTAAAGCCGTTTCTTTGGGATATGCTCCTTATACTCCACCGCCTGCCATCATCTGCTGTCAGGCCAGCACTGCAGCGGAGCAGACAATTCCTTCCGCATCCGCGTTTTAGGGATTTAACGCCTGGCAGCGGCACGCCATCTAGCGTGTGAGGAACATAGTTTGGAGACGTAACTGGAATGGTGAATTGTCGCTCCACGTTTTGAATTAACATTTTCATCACAAATTAGAGACTGCATTGCTTTGCTTGTTGATGAAGGTTGGATTATCCACAACTCTTTATATGTACATATATACTTTGCTACTATACCGCATTTGCTGTTATTCAAAATCTAGTTTCAAAGTAACAGTACTACCTATACAAACCAATGGGGAATCATGCCGTCTACCTCCCACACATTGATCTTTTGCAGAATATTAAGCGTATCGCGAACTACTAAGCCTATATTTTAGAAAAAAATTACAACGATGTTTAATACAAAAGTGAATTGTCATCACATTCTGAAATTTTAAAAACAAATTCTGGATTTTTGACTTATCCAATATTCTCGATTTCGCATAGTTCCCGCGTGAACCTTAGAAATGGATTCAATGGTTTTGCGGAACAGGAACGGCCCTGTTAAAAGCCACACCTTAACACCCAACGGATTCATTTGAAACATTGTTTAAACTGTAGAAGAATTGTTATATACAGAGGATATTTGAGAGTTTATGTCTTCAAAATTATCAGTAAGATGTGATAAATATCTACCTAGCGAAAGGATAGTTTTACCTGCTTGTCAAAGAAACTCGAGTGAAAGAGACAACCTGGATTTGTAGCGAGGAACAATTGTAAAATGATATTAAATGATGTCTTTTACGCTTTGTGTCATAAAGTCCACAGTCGTACTGTAAACATAATACAATACAGCCAGTTAGCAATATCTAATACATAATTTTGTCTTGATATTCCTGCGATTCGATCGATGATATTTGATCCTATCCAGCCGCTGGTCATTTGACCAAAAGATTCTTTGTACGCAAATATACCGTAACAGGACTTAACAAAGTCTCTTTCTGGGAATATTGCTGGTGGCTAAACTCTATCTTCTTCCAGGAACTGGGCGAGGTATGCGAAAGGTTAAGGAAAAATGCCATGTATTATTTGGTGAAGATAGGTATATGAAATGTTTGACGTCATATTGATAAAATGTGTTACATTGGGGATCAACATTCCGACAAGATATAGGTATCGCTGTATGCGCACCGAATAAAGCTCCCCTCCTGGTTCGGACGGGTTAGGTTTAGGAGAGTGATGGGGTATATGGTTTTACTTTTGGCAATGCTTAGCGTATGCGGAAGAACGAAATGCGGCGTAGGTTGGGGCGCTTCGGCGTGACGGGCGAACGCTTTAACCACTAAATACTCCACCGCCCTTGTTCAGGCGGTTGGCGAGGTGCATGGAAGGCTTAATTTCGGGCTCTTTGAATGGTGTTGCCGGTTTGGTAGCGCGTGTGGTGGTGCGGGAGGATGGCATTGGGTAAACGAGGATAACGTTTAAGAAGCAGCCAATGGGTGTCGGGTGTCGGTTTATGTTGTTTCCGGCGTCGTGCATTGTTTCCATACAATGAAAATATAGTGCAACTTCATTTTTTGCTGTTTATGTAATCATGGTTTATCGATTTTAGCAGGCTAAAGTGTGGTTCGCAGGTCCACGGTTGGTAGACCAGAAACGTATTAGTGTCATTACCAGTTGTGAAAGATCTTCGCCAAATATAAACTGAAGTAGGGAAATGGGTTGAAATCTCAACCTAATTAGATCCAAAGTGCCACAGGATGTACATGTGGCTCATGAATGTTATGCTAATTGTGATAGATGTACTTACCCATCATGAATAACAGCTGTTCGATTCCCCATATAGGTACAGTAACCAAACCCATTTCTATGATGTCCCCGTCGTATTGCTGGAATATATTGTACCCATCATAGGCTAACAGCTGTTTCGATTCCCATATGAGTTACAATGTATAAACCAACCCATTTCTAGTGTCCCCGTCATTATTGCTGGAATATGAAACAAAGCAGCCTAAAACCAAACTCCTCCTCCTCCACTAACAGCTAATCTCTGGAATGGAATTTACAGAAAAATGTTTTAAACTAAATACGATAAAGATAAAAAATTCAGACGTTCTTCATTTCAACTAGTAGATCCGACACCACCCTATATCCTAGGCTTCATATATGAGTTACATTAGGTACTCTTGTTTCAAAGTCTGGAATGACCCAGACTATCCCATGTCGTCCACGAATAAATGCATTATGGTGCAATATTTTCGATGATGAACAGCGGCGGTTGGTCAACGTGGTCTGTGAAGATTATACATTGACCTGTAAGAATTAATAGTCAACAAACAGTCTCTGGGGACGGGACCTGCAATGTGGCGGCCCCAGACCGTTGGAGCTCCCTGTCCCGGGGCGTCCTGAACCTCAGACGCAGACATGTAACATTGTGCCTTGTGCAGGTGGGACAGTGTGAATATTTGTCGTCGCATCTGACGATGGCTACATTGCATATCGTGACGGGGATGGTCAGCCATCATAATGATAGAGATCAGTAAAGATTAAAGATTAAAAGGCGGTGACGGATGGACAGTGACTGGTGTATGGGATGAAGTGTAGGTATCTTGGGAAGCGTAACAGTGACGGGATGATGCCGAAGATGGTACGGGTTGTGCTTGGGAGACTGAGTGCAGATCCTTGCATGCTGCGGTGTGGGGACTTGCGGTGCTTTTTTGCTGCTGGCCGGTTTGCATCGTTCGGACGTTTGGGTTATTGAATTTATGTTGTGCATGGTAGAATGTCAAGGTCTTTTAAAATGCTACCAGCGGGCCCTAGCTTATCTTGAATGTTTGCGACACGGAAGCTAGGCATTGTTGTAAAGCATTCAATTGATTCTTTGGAGCTCTACCTCTTATTTTCACTAGGGGAGGGGGTTCATTGCTTTACAAATAAAATCTCTATTTTAAATGAGATACATTTCTGTAAATATCACCACCGTATGACATATATTTATATTTGGAATTAGTATAATGATATCTCAGTAAAGTACAAATTCTAGTGTTTGGGGTTGGGTCTTAACCGGGACAGTCTCAAGAGAGCTGGGCTTTTCTAAGCGTCAGCACAAAGTCAGGGGATCTAGCCAGCTCCAGACATCGCTGAAATCGTGGTTTTGTTTTGTGGTGCATGTAATTTCTTTTCTGCATTGTGGTGTTAAAGGTTGCGTTTTTATGAAGTAGAGGTTTGTGATAATAATGTTAGATCCTGACCAACTTCTAAATGCTTAATTTATATATGGTTTACAATTTGTTATCTAAATTATTAAAGAAGTACATATAGTATTCAACGTTTGTGTTTGTATTTTGAGTGCGTAGCATTATGGCTAAAGCCGCATTTATAATATTCCAGCAATATCATGACGGAGTGGACACAAAGAAATTCAAGCACACATTAAAACACTTTAACCACTAGGCCAATGTAAGTAGTTCTATGATTAACATCAAATGGATTCACATCTAGCTAGTCTGTTTCCAGTGAAATTACCGATGAATTTCCCATAAGCAAACACATAAATCAAATCAAATAGAAATTGAGATTGCCTGGTCTAGACTCGACTGATTATTTACAGAACACCGCAATCTGGCTGGGAATATTGCGGTGCGGCGTTAGGCAAAGAGAAACAAAGCCAACCTCATAAGACAACAAACTGGCCAAAGTCAGAGAGCAGGTCGAGGATATACAGGAGCTTATGTTATTTTTTGTATTTTGTGGGTATTTTTGATGGATCGGCAAAACAACTCCAGTTGTCAACCTTTCCGCCATTTGGTACACATCGTGAGCATTTTAACCATCCCTGCCAATCCCATTAATTTATCATATAGTTTACAGAAATCCCTGAGGACAAACATATATTTAATATTTTCTACAGTCATAATAGAATATATTCTCAACAATACTTCGTTGTCAGCACTTGCATAATTCGATTATTGATTTCTACCGCTTTAGGCACCATTGGCGAAATATCAAAATTAGAGGACACGAAATAAACTTTAGACGGTATTGGAGATCAGACCCGGATCATCGTCGCCGTGTCTGGCTGCACCTGCCCCATAATAATACATACTAACACCACAATGGGTCAGCATGTGCCCATTGCGTTTGTCCACATGACATGCACCTAAGTGCCACAGTTCCTGCCTAAAACATACAGACGTGAAAGCAAAGTGTATGTGCGTCGTTCATTTTCTCGCCTTTGCTGCTTTATCAAAATACACATTCTCATGCTGTAGGTTATTTCTATTCCTTCAATCGTTTTGAATAGTTCCCCGATCATGTAAAGAGATACAAACTCATATACCATGTGTCATCGATATTTGCATCAATGGCGTTGTGCTCTTTGATATATCTTGCCTATCTTCAAAATCAGTTACCGGGAATCTTTTAACCACAGGTAGGATGCGGGATGTTGTCGATGGTGGGTCGGTTCAGGGGTTCTGTAATAGGCCAGATGTGGATGAAGGTCCGTTTGTCTTGGGCGTTTTCTCTGCATAATGCGTGGCAGTACCCATATAAAGGACGCACGGCACTTGCGGCAAATGGGTTCGTTTGATGCATGACATTTGGGAGGGTGGTGTTTTGGATACCTTTCGGATATGATTGGATGCTGAAAATGATGGTGCAGTGTGGTGAGGTGTTAAGTTGGTGAGCTGGATGGCCTGCCACCACCTACAGGATCACTTTTGGCCCATGCGTGGGGGTCCTGGCTCTGAGGTGTTACACACACACACAGGTTCTGCCTTGGTGGATCTGAAGGAGATCTTGTTGGTGGCTATTTTTGGCTGGATGTTCACAGATGATGAGTCAGGTAGCGGCACTGGTTGCACTTATGGATGGTGCGCGGAGACAGTTCTGTGACGGATGAAGTGTGGAGTCCTGGAAGTACCTGCAGATTGTGATGGGCATTTGGACATGGAGAGCTGCTCTGGCACCGGTGATTATGGATCGGTTCTTGGTTTTGGAGTGAAGAAAAAGGGCAGAGTGAAGTATCACAGTAGTCTAATCTATGCACAAGATGAAGAAGGATGGGCAATTTGATTCTTTAGTCAGGTGTTCTTGTTATCTATATTTCTCAGTTGAATGGAACAGACTCGCAATACATTAAACAAAGACTTTTGCATTTTATACTGAACCCCATATGGAAATGGTGTTGGTTGTGGATGAATTTGGTTTGTATATGGATGCAATGGGCCACTAAAACCAAGTTCAATACATTCAAGATTCCTTCGTTAGCACTTTTAGTCAATGCTGTAAGTAGCAGTGGAGGTACTTACTGGTTTCAGGTGCCAATATGCATCTGTGTTGGGCTTTCCATGCGGCCCCTCTCGCATTCACGGAGTAAGCTGCTGTGTCCCTCATGGCTGCCTGGCCTCATGGAATTGCACTGTACCAACATGGCGCGGATTCATGTTCCTGGGATTGACCCTCAAATGCGAAGACTTCTTCTTCCAAAGTCGATATGAGTGGCGTAAGGTGATGTGATCTCGATGGTCACCCGCGTGACGGTAATATCCTGCCGGGCATTTAGCCCATCAATATGTAGTGCAGATTTAAAATCCAGTGTAGACTCATTACGGTATACCTCTCTATGTCAGGAAATCAGCCCCTAAGGACTAGCTTTACAGATATAGTTACAAGATCGCTCAGGTATTCTTCGATGCTTGTTAATAACATCAAATTATCATCAGATATATAAGGTTAAAACCACTTTCTAATAGGCATTATGTAATAATATTCCGCCTGAATGACAAAGATTTAGTTATATCTATTCGGAAGGCGTCCGGATCCATCTAGGGGTTGTCAAGTATCCGTCTACTCATAGCATACCGCCAACCAGACCTTCGCCCATCTAGTGCATATCAGCTGCACGTTACATTCAATGTAAAGCTGTACATACCAGATATTATATATGGATTATTAACGTTATTTCCTAATCACCATAAATTCTACACAAAGATTCGTTTCCGCAGGTACGGTCTGCTTATTGCCCCGTTTGGTTCTGGTTGGAAATGGGCAGATGTATGACCGGTATGGTCTTTGCTCATATTAACTGATAGCCATTTCAATATAATTCGTTTTCCAGAGTGTGAAGATAATTTAGTTTGCCTATGAATGTTTTGGTCAGAGTTGTCTTTTGTTGTTTGCGTTAATGCTTGCGGCGGAGTGCGTGAACGTTCGCCGGTACGATGTCGTCATATACATTTATTTTGATTCCGTAGTGATGGCATCACCGCCGATTCATATCTTTTCGCCGGTTGATTGAAGCGAACGCGGTACGTTTTTATGCCCGATGGTTTGTATGCCGTGGAACGTTACGGTATTAATCCGGTAGTAGTAATATGGCAGTAGACATGACGTTTTAGATTCAAGTACGGTAGGATACCCAGTGACCAATTGGTTGCTCAGATTTAAAGTTGTTTTGTAGCGGATTAGGTGGTGGATGTCGGTTGCACTTTCCTCTTGTTGGATTCGATCAGAGTTGTCAGATCCATATGAAGCCCTATGTGCGGTTAGGTTTGTCGCCAAATCAGCATAATATATTGAATGATGTTACGTTTTTTGACGCGTTTGAGCTCGGTTCATCTTTGGCAAATATTTGGGTGCGTTTAATACGGCCGTTAGCTCGCGGAGGGTTGTCTTGTTTGTTCAAGCTCTTTGTTAATGGCACCGTGGGTTAACGTGGGCGTTCAGTTAATAGCACTCAGGACCGCCGGCGGCGCACGGCGGACGGTTTACGGCAGCGGAGTGGCGTTTCAAGCGAACGGCGCTTATAGTTGGTTCGGCCAGAGAGGGATGGGATTGTATCGTGGGATGGACTGCAATAACAGGTGTTCACGGCGGAGGGTTGTGCGGGGCTGTGACTGCTTAAAATTTAAATGAGACTAAAATACATGTTGAATAGAACGCCAGTTCCTGCGTTCATCTTTAACACTTATTGTAAAGGTTTATATATGTTTACTACACTACGTGTGGTTTTATTTAGTTATTGTTCCGAATAGGCAACCGAGATCCAGGAAGCACTATACTTGCGCGATATGATGTGATGTTGGAACCGAACAAATAGATAATTCAAATTATTTTGAAATATCTGAATGATTTATATTATGATGCTGGGGAAGTCGTCGGCGGGATATGGTGATTGTGTATACTCTTATTCTACCGGCGTACCTCAAATGCCAAATATATAATACAAAATGTTGATGTATGGCAATATCACTACCGATTGAATTCAATAATGGCTGGCCGCCGGTTTACGAGGATACCCGCCAGATTCAAGAAGGATCGATTTTATACACCAATACCAGTCACCGTAAATGTCGAATAGATTCCCCAACTATATCTAGTAATAATATTATTCTACATATTGTTTTCGATGAAAAGAAGAAATGAAATTTTACCGGGTGTACCG